ACGGGAATTGCGGGGGGAGCATGGAGCCAGCTTCCTGTCCAATCAGGAAGCCAGGCGGCACCTCATGACCCTCCGCCCAGCTTCCTGATTGGTCAGGTAGCCTGGGAAAGTGAAGCCGGTGTTCTTTCAATAGAATGCCGGCTTCCCAGGCAATACGTCATGATCCGCTACCCGACTTCCTGATAATTGGGGAAAAAGGGCAGCAGTATCGTGCGTACCGGAAAAAAAAAATCGGTACTTAATACCGAGAAACCGGTATCAGCACATCCCTAGTTTTCAGACAGCTTTATACATGTGGTGCTACCGACCTGCAATGATGTCCGTCAGCAGTCGTATGGGTAAGTTCAGGAACTCTTCGGTGTCATGCAGCTGTGACAAGTGGGTTTTGGCGCAGTGTTTAGCCGCGGTGTAGAGTGCCGTGTCGCTGTGCTGGTCTGCCAGCCACATGATCTGCAGGCAGTTTTTCACCTGCACCGTCCTCACCAGGAAGCGAGAGCATTCCTCGAATAAAGCCATCAACTGGTACATATCGGCCACCTCGTACGTCTCCTGCAGCTCCTCCAGCCTCAGCTTCACTGTTCCATGATAAATGTAATCCACCAGCAGCTGGAAAACGCTCTCGCTGACGTCCTGAAGCTGGATGACGCGGTTGCGCCCCTCTTTCAGATTGGAAGCAAACATGGAGCGGAAGAAGCAGCTCTGGGCGGACAGGACAAGTCGGTGCAGCTGAAATTCCTTTCCTTCCACCAGGATAGTGACATCGGCAAACAGCTCCTCTTCCATGCACAGCTTCATGATGCTTTGGGCCACCCGGCTGCTGTGTGAGCGGTCTGTAAACGTGTAAGTCACAAAGTAATTCTCCTCTGTGAGATTCTGGGAAGCAGCTTCTTCTGGAGCGTCCATGCTTTACACTAGACTGGGCTGATAAAGTGCCTGAAAGATACAGAAAATACAAGTACTGAGGAATATGGCGGCGCGTTGTGGTGCGTCACGGGTCATGTTACCGCTCCTTTTTTTCACATAGAACATTTCACATTCAACTGGAGCAAGTCTGATTTAAAGTTTGCCTTGAAGTGGACCTGTCATCACAAAAAAGTGCGCACAGGTTTGCTTTAAAGTGACTTATTTAAGTGTCCTTTTAAATAATATGGTTAATGGGCCAAAGATCAAGGTAGGCCATAACACCAATTAAAGCCGACCTTTACCCCCTTTCACTAAAAATCACATCAGCACGCAGCTCTGCATGCTCATATGAAATCATCTTGTATTCATTAGCTAAACATACAGAATTTTTTTTAACTTACAATTACTGTTTTTTCACTTCCTGGTGCTCTTGGGCATTAGTGATGTAATGTGCCCAAGCATTGCATCCTGGGATGGTTACAGCAGCAGAAATCTCATCTTTAATCTCAGGAGATCTCAGGGAAAAGAATTTTCTCATGAGATGATGGTCATGGTCACATGTCCTAGTCACATGTGCCAGAGATTCAGGAAGTAAAGGGAGAAATAATAATCTGCCCTTAGTAAAAATGGCCACTGTCAGAAGACTGGGGAAGAAAAGAAAAATAAGGTATGCAAAGAATAAAAATCCATTACTGTAGATTGTTATTACTAAATATTTCTAAAGGTGTGTTTGCTGTCATTTTAAAGGGAAGTTCCTCTTTAAGTGTGAGAAAATGCTTAAAGAAGAGCTATGAGGTGAGTGATTTCCACTCATCCTCATAGTTATAACCGACCTGTGACAAAAAAGCCGTCATAGGTCGGCTCTATCGATCAGGAAGTGAGCAGAAACATGCCGCCGATCTGCTCACTTCTCGATTGTCTCCCTGGAGTGAGCGGTGACCGTCAGTCACCACTGGCCCCTGGAACCTTCAACATCCAACACTTTGGGGTGTGTTGGATGCCTGTGTCTACCTGCTGCATTCTGTAGTTCCATCTGCTGGCTGCTATAGCGCTACTGTGTCCCTGCAGTTGAACGAACCATGCCCAGATGGTGTTATGGCCTACCGCAGGGATAGGCAACCTGGGCACTCCAGCTGTTGTGGAACTACAACTCCCATGAGGTATTGGAAGACTGACATCCACAGGCTCAACTCGCAAAGGCAGAGGCATCATGGGATTTGTAGTTTCAGCACAGCTGGAGTGCCAAGGTTCCTTACCCCTGGCCGACCATTATCCTTGCTCTTTAAAGGGTACCCTATTTCTCTCCAAGTCGGTGCAGCTGTGTTAAAGGGTTATTAAACCCTCACATGTTTTTGCATATATCTATGGCTAGCTATATGTAGCCGTATATGTAGATCAGCCAGCAAGCAGTGTATATATAGATCAGCCAGCAAGCAGTGTATATATAGATCGGCCAGCAAGCAGTGTATATATAGATCAGCCAGCAAGCAGTGTATATATCGATCAGCCAGCAAGCAGTGTATATATAGATCAGCCAGCAAGCAGTGTATATATAGATCAGCCAGCAAGCAGGAGATATATGCATTTTAAAAAGGGTTTAAACTTACCTGTGTCTTCGCCGCGCTCCCGTCCGAACATCTGAAGAGTCTCAGACGGCCGCAAAGGATCTTGGGGCGGTCGCATGCGCACTTCAGATGTTCGGCCGGGAGACGAGGAGAGACACAAGGTAAGTCTATGGAGCAGCGTGCACCCGCCCAGACACCGTGGGACGGCAGAGAAGAGGAGTCAGCGCTGGATCGGGGACCCGTACCCAGCGCTGGAGGGACAGCTGAAGAGGACAGGAAAGAATAAGATGACCGAATCAAGAGACATCATTTAAGGTAAGTCCCTACTGCAGGATTGGGAAAAAACTTTGACTTTAATGTCACTTTAAGGTTCATGGCTACACCGCATTAATCAGAGTGGGCTTCCCGATGGTGACAACACCGAGCCCATAGATTGTGTTCAAAATAGAGCTGCAACAGTTCATCGATTTAGTCGATTAAAATCGACGATTGAAAACGTTGTCAACTAATCGATTATGAAAATAATCGTTAGCTGCAGCCCTAGTTTAAAAGGCAACTTTTAGTTTAAAGTGACACTAAACTCCGGAGTTAAATCTTAAAAATACATTCAGGTACCCGAACTATTAACAACAATGTATGTTATTTGTGTATCACTCGGCTTCAGATCCCCCAATCATCTCTGAATTGGTGCTGACACTGTCCTTCCTTCTGGTGGGTGGCTACTTTTGTTCCCAATGGTCCCGATGTGTGTTGTAAAGTAGTCACCGCTCCAAGCTCACTCCTGTGATGGACTACAATCTCAATACAAATTAGTAAACAAAACATGAGATTGTAGTCCATCACAGGAGTGAGCTTGGAGCGGTGACTACTTTACAACACAACTTAGTCAACTAGGGGTGGGCAAGGGGGTGAAGCTACAATCCCACGATGCATCTGTCTCTGGGAGTCATGCCTCTGAGTCTTGCAATGCCTTATGGGATTTGTAGTTCCACAGCAGCTGGAGGGACGGAATTTGCCCACCCGTGCCTAAGTACATTAGGGTGCCATTTGAAGTGAACGGCACTTCAACGCGCTAATACAAGTGACACACACTAAACGCTTTCTATGACGCAAAAGCGCGATTCGTTCCTGAATTTCCTTGTTGTGGACACAGCAATGGAAACCTGGCAGAGGCTCCACCCAAAAACACAGTTCTGCCTTTAGATACACTTTACAAAATCTGGAGCGGAGGTGTCACCAAAATTGGCCGGGCCGATTTACCACAACTTGACCAAAATTGGGGGTGTTACCCATGGCAACCAGTTTTCACTGGCTATAACCTACAGTAAAAGTGGAGCAGCTGCCCACAGCAACCAATCAGATCGGGAGGGGAGGATTTTTAAAAACTGAAGGTGTCCATAGCAACCAATCAGGTTCCAGCAGACTATTCTGCAACAACCTGGGCATACGAAGAGCAGTCGCTCATGGCAACCGGACTCCTTGAGATGAGACCGTGAGGCCTAGCAGTAAAGTGGAGCCATGCTTCCAGGGGAGTGGGTGCTACGAGCAGTGTCTGCGGAAGGTAGTGTCATGTGATACCGCAGAGCCTACGGGCTGCCATGGCAAGCCGACACTGTCCCCGCTCCCCCCGGCATCCTGGACTTAGTGTCACCCTCCCACCACGAATTTACCGTCCCCGCTTCTGTCCGTTCCTCCTTCCGCCCTCTAACACCCGGAACTCTCTTTTCCCTGGTTTCGCACACCGGAAGTCGCCCGGAAGAGTTTGCTTGGCGGACCCGATCGAAGCAGGAGGGGTTTCCGGCGGCTTGTCTGCTTGTCCTTGTCTGTCAGTGGTCGGGAAGGATGCTGGCTGGAGTACGGGCGGTACGGGGCCTGCTCCGGGGAGGTGAGACATTGAGGTCCCTCTGCCTGACAGGAGACACGGAGGCCTGCGCTGTAAACCATAGAAATATTGCATGGCAAGATACACGAAGGCCTGTGCTGTCAACCAAAAAAACATTGGTTGCCACCACATATGGAGGCCTGTGCTGTAACCCATAGCATCCTTGTTTGACGCGAAACATGAGGGCCTTTGCTGCTACCCATAATAACCGTGCTTGGCATAAGAACAAAAGGCCTGTGCTGTAGCCCATAGCAATCTTGTTTGGCTGGGGACATGAGGGCATTTTACTGTTACCCATAGTAACCGTGCTTGGCATGAGAACAAAAGGCCTGTGCTGTAGCCCATAGCAACCTTGCTTGGCAGGAGATATGGAGGTCTGTGCTGTTTCCCATAGCAACCTTGCTTGGTAGGGGACATGAGGGTCTTTGCTGTAACCCATAGCAACCTTGTTTGGCAGAAGATATGGAGTTATGTGCTGTTACCCATAGCAACCTTGCTTGGCGGGGGACATGAGGGCCTTTGCTGTAGCCATGCCTGGTGGGGGAAATGAGGGCCTTTGCTGTAACCGTGCCTGGCAGTAGAGTAAAAAGCCTGTGCTGTAGCCCATAGCAACCTTGTTTGGCATGGGACATGAAAGCCTGTGCTGTTGCCCATAGCAACCTTTCCTTGCAGGAGACATGAGGGTCTGTGCTATTACAAATAACATTGCCTGAGAGGAGACACGAGGGCCTGTGCTGTTACTCATAGCAACCTTGCCTGGCATGAGACAAGAGGGCCTGTGCTGTTACCCGTAGCAACCTTGCCTGGCAGAAGACACAAGGGCCTGTGCTGTAACCCATAGCAGCATGACAGCAGCCAGCATGTGCCCCTGGGACTCCCGAGGTCAGCAAACTGTCCTTGGTTACATTATAGACAGAACTAGTTATAAACAATGACCTGTCTGCTGCTCTGACCTGGGCCTGTCATAGAATACATGTGATGAGAGACACCTAGAGGCCGCCATTGCTGAATTCTCATTGCTGGTTGCCATTGCCAACCGTCTTGTTGGAAATACATAGGCAGATAAAGACTTGACTTCATTCTGAAGTTCCTGATGTGCGTTCCTATTCTGGGTCAGGGGTCCAAAATGTATTAAAGGTGAACCCCGCAGACCTATCACCGCAGCTCTGTGCTCATTAATACACTCCATTTTTTTTATTTAAATACCTGATTCTGACCTATCAGCCTCTTCAGTCCCTGTACAGCAGAGCTCTGACTGTGAGATAGAGAAGCAGCACCAGTGAGCCATTCAGTGCAAGGGACAGACTTGTTCCTTCTATGGGAGGACACAGCTGTACACGGTTACACGCAGACGTGAACATGCACATACGCTCCGGTACGGGTGCCCACGCTTGGACGCAGACAGTGCGCGCTTATGTGAATGAGCCGGAAGACAGACAGCAGTAATAAGCTTTTTCGGGTTCTGGCTGTTCCCCTCAGAAAAAGTTTTTTGCTTTAGCCCTCGTTCACACCTGAACGTTTTGTAGCGCGTTCTACGCTCGACGAACGCTCTACAAAACGCTCAAAAATATAAATCCGATTGTATTCAATGGTCTCGTTTCCACCTTGGCGTATTTACGCCCGTCCCTAACGCGCTACAGAACGGCCCACGCCTGAAAAGGTACAGGTACTACTTTGGGCCGTTTTGTTGCGCGTTTCCATTGGGATACAGCCAAGTAGCCTTCGGAAACGCGCGACAGACGCGCATATGCAATACGCCTAGGTGTGAACGAGACCTTATACTTACTGATGTGTCCCTGCTAGGTTTTCCATCATTTCCTGTCACAGTGTTGATGGTGTCACCTGTACAGGAAGCAAGGGTAAATCTTGCCCACATACTGCAATCAGATGTGATGAAGGAAAACCGTCCGTTTCCCTTTCTATCCAAAACTTTGAAAAACGTTTTTGTTGGAGATCCTCTTCAATGTAAAAGTATTGTGTGCAGGAGAGAGAAGAGTTCCAAACTTGGTTCTCCTCACCTTGTAGATCGGAAGTGTCCAAACCTTAGCCCTTCACCTGTGGTGAAACTACAAATCCCAATGCAAGATTCTGATAGCCACAGACATGACCACCAGAGGTAGACGCATGATGGGATTTGTAGTGTCACCACAGCTGAAGTTTGATTATCTGCAGACTTTCTATGGACAGATGGAAAAAGTGCAACAGATTCCTCTATCTACGCTAAGCTGTGTGGATGGAGGAGTCTCCCACTGGGCCAAGCTTCAGTATCTTGCTAGCCGGGCCCCACTAGCTCTCAAAATGCCTGCACATTCTAAATTGGATGCAGGCACTGTTCAGGTATTTTGAGAGCCAGCCGTGCCAAAGAGCAAGATACTGAAGCTTGGCCCAGCGGGAGATTCCTCCACCCACACAGTGTAGCGTAGATGGAGGAATCTGGTGCACGTTTTCCATCTGACCATAGAAAGTCTGCAGATAATCTATAGGTGTATGGACAGCTTTACTTCTACTGCTGAAAGAATGGTATTCTTAAACTTTCTGTCTGTGTATGACCTGAGTGGTACATGATTTCTGAACTGTAAGAACTTGGCTTTCCTTTTGCTTATTATGTTTCAGCCTTACATGTCTGCTTAAAGTGACACTAAACTCAGGAATTAAAGGAGAACTATGAGGTGAGTGATTTTCACTCAGCCTCATAATCTGAGCCGACCTGTGACAATGAGACTGTTACACGTCGGCTCAATAGATCGGGAAGTGAGCGAACACATACCATCGCTCGCTCACTTCTCGATCCTGTTCCTGCAGAGAGCAGTGACTGTCACGGCTCTCCTGCAGGGATTCCCCCTCCTCTGTCCGATCCTCCAGCGCTGACTGGCGGAAAGGATGGGGGAGGGGGCTGGTACAGCTGGCTCTGCCTCTGGATAGGCAGAGCCAACTGTCAATCACGCAGCTGGGTGGATCTCGACAGTAATGTCCGTATCTGTCCCGGCTGTGGCGGTCTCAGTATACCGCAAGCTGTAGCTCGCGGTTTACTGAGCTTTGGGTCACGGGAGGACGCTAGTTTATGTCCTCCCGTGACCCTTATGAGAACTATAGGGAAAAACACTTACCCCATAGTTCTCTTTTAAATCTTAAAAATACATTCAAGTACCTTTTAACTATGAACAAAAATGAATCTTATTTGTGTATCACTCGGCTATAGATCCTCAAATCATCTCTGAATTGGTGCTGACACTGTCCTTCCTTCTGGAGGGGGGCTACTTTTGTTCCCCCATAGTCCCTGTGTGTGTTGTGAAGTAGTCACCGCTCCAAGGAGCGAGTTTAGAGCGGTGACTACTTTACAGCACACACAGGGACCATGGGGATCAAAAGTAGCCCCCCTCCAGAAGGAAGGACAGTGTCAGCACCAATTCAGAGATGATTTGAGGATCTACAGCCGAGTGATACACAAATAAGATTCATTTTTGTTCATAGTTAAAAGGTACTTGAATGTATTTTTAAGATTTAGCTCCAGAGTTTAGTGTCACTTTAATAGGTTGTCATGCCAGCATTCGTTGCTCGGTCATTACTTGTTGTTTGAACATAAATCCTTACTGACTGTATTTAATTTCCAGCTTCTGCCCTCCGTGTGCTACCACAGATACGTTGTGAATCCGGAACTTCAGAGACAAGGCGTAAGTTTCTACTTTTTAGATCTATAAACATAATAAAAAAGGCAATTAAGCTACGAGTTCTATGTATTTGTAAGATTTAGAATGTACATATTGTAGCATACTAATTCTTCTATCTGGTGGTTGCATTAGTTCCATTTTTCAGACTTTCTTTCCTTTATTTCCTCCTGCTAATCCTGCAAATTCCACATTTCCTTTCCTAGAATGCCAACTCACTCAACCTTATCTGAAGAGGAGCAGCATTGTCACTCTAGGGCAGGAAGTGTTTTAGGACTGCAGAACACATATCCTTCTCCTCATCTGCATAACATAGAGGGGAGGCTCACAGACAGAACTGGGAACAATAGAGAGCACAGATGTCAGCTTCTATTTAAAGTTTTAGTAAATGAGTTTAACTCTAACCAATCCTTCATCCAGAGAACATTTATAAACATCCTGGATCTCAAATGGTAAAACAAGCTCATGGCTGCAGAAGCAGCCATGAGCTTCTTACTGTTTTCTTCAGTCGGTTCTTAGCTATCCAATAAAAGTGATCCAGGCAGCTTTAGAGCCGCCCGATCACTTTTAGGCCCCGTTCACACCAGGACGGTTGCGGATCAGCGCAGATTTTAAAAAGGGCGGTTTTAATTGCGTTTCAGCACTGAAACATATTTAAAAACGCCCCAAACCACGCTGATCAGTGTGGTTCCATTGAAATCTATATGTTAACCGTGCTGATCAGCGTGGAAAAAAATGGTCGGTGCATTTCAGGCGACAGGCGGTTCGGATCGCGTGGATTGTTCATATTGGTGGTTCAGTGTGGCCGAACTGCCCTGGTGTGAATGGGGCCTTAGTGAACTGAAGGTGCTATCCAACTCGTTCACCACACTCCTCAGGGAGCCCAGGAAATGGCTTGTTAGCCCCTTTGTAATAGCAGTAAAGTAAAATGAAAAAAACCCATAAAAAAGACAAGTGAGTAGAGGTTAGAACCTCCATCACATTTTTAATATCCGTGTCCCCATTTGGGAGACAGAACAAATAAGTAGAGGAGTGTTTCCCCTTTTTATGTCTATTTGTTGGGTATCAGACAGAACAGAAAGTGAGGGGAAATCCCCCAATGGGCACACAGCAAAAAAAAAAACATTTTCTAGCAGAGATTAGGAGATTAGAAACTTTGTCAGGATTGTATTCCCGATTGTGTCCCCATGAAGGAGATTTCTGTTCACTTCAGGTGTTGGGTGTCTGACAGACTAGGAAGTGAAAGAGTCATTAGAAAAGTATGGGGCTTCCATTGAACTCTTCCTTCTGAAAATAGTAGATGCCTGGCTGCGTCTGACATTAGTATGTGTATGTTACAGCCACCGAACAAGCATGCTGTAAATGAGTGTCAGAACTACTTATCTGTTCTTGTTCCTGGTCAGCAACTAGGACAGCATTGAATATAAAGCACTAGAACAACAGCGAGGGAGCTAGCATTCTAAAAGGAGTGTTTAGTAATGGCCGTCTTCATTCATTTCTTATGACAGTGTCACTTTAAAGCTAACAAAAGTATTAACCCTCACACACACACACCCC